TTAAGGGGCATTGAATTATTGGCCTTCAATCAAGTTAGGAAGTTAGTAGCATGGGGCAGGGAAAGACCAGATGCTATTAGTAGAAATATTTTTATAGCACTTACTTTATTTTAAAAAAAATTTTTTTCCCCTTTGCCCTGGCCAGTTTGGCTCAGCGGTTAGAGCATTGGCCTGCGGTCTGGAGAGACCGGGATTTGGTTCCCGCTAAGGGCATGTACCTCGGTTGCAGTTTATCCCCGGCCCTGGTTGGGTCGTGTGGGTGGCAACCACTCGAGGTGTCCCTTTCACATTGATGTTTCTCTCTCTCTCCCCCTCCCACTCTATCTGAACAAAATATCAAAAAATAAATAAATAAAAATAAATAATTTTTTTTTCCTTTATTGATTTTAGAGAGAGAGGAAGGGAGAGAGGGAGATGGAGAGAGAAACATAGATGAGAGACAACATCAATTGGCCACCTCCTGCATGCCTCCACTGGGGATTGGGCCAACAACCTGGGCATGTGCCCTGACTGGGAATTGAACTGGTGACCTCTTGGTGCATGGGTCGATGCTGAACCACTGAGCTACACTGGTTGGGCTAGAGCTACACATGTCATTTGACTCTCACCATACCCTGTGAGGAATCATCTCTTTACAGTAAAGCAAACTCAAGTTCAGAGGTGACTTTCCCTAGTCATTGAGATAGAATGGGAACCCGTGGCTTGTTTTCTCTTGCCAATTCCCTTGCTCTTTCTGTTACTCCATACTAACCTAGTGATTGTTACTATGAAAGGTTTTAGGTCTAGCCTAGATGGTGTGGCTCAGAGGATTGAGTGTTATCCCATGGACTGAGAGGTCCTGGTTTAATTCCCGCTCAGAGCACATGCCTGGGTTTTGGGCTCGTCCCCGGTAAGGGGCATGCAGGGGGCAGCTGGTTGATGTTCTCACTTCGATGTTTCTGCCTCTCCCTTTTTCTTTCTTTAAACAAACAAAAAAAATCAATAAAAACATATTTTTGAAAAAAAGGTTTTAGGCCTTAATTATATTCTTTTCCCAGCAATTTTAATTCCACAGCCTCTTATTGTTTCCTGGGATGTAAAAAGTAGTCATTACTTCTATCATTAAATGAAATATAATGTGAAAGCATTTTGTAGATTGTAAGGCACTGGGCAGCAAATGTACATTTGAAGGCTAGTTAGAAAATCAGCATTTTTCTTCTCCAAGTTAGAGGAACTGTATTTAATTGGTAAGTAGGTGAAGTTACTTTTGTAGCATTGACAGTAATCCCAATATATTGTTGGCTGAATTATGGGCTTCTCTAAAGAGAACGAGAGACTGGAAGAAATCCTTGGGACTAATTCTTTTTTTTTTTTTTTTTAATCCTCACCCGAGGACATTTTTCCATTTTTTGTTCAGGTAGAGTGGGAGAGAGAGAGAGGAACAGAGAGAGAGAGAAACATCGACGTGAAAGGAACACATCGAGTGGCTGCCACCCGCACGACCGACCAGGGCCGGGGACAAACTGCAACCGAGGTACATGCCCTTAGCGGGAACCGAACCCGGGTCTCTCTGGACCGCAGGCCGACGCTCTAACCGCTGAGCCAAACCGGCCAGGGCCCTTGGGACTAATTCTTACAATCTGGGAACATTGGTGGTGGTCAGTCTAATGCCAAAACCTATTTGACCCAGTTCCAAGAGGTATAAAGGAGTTCTCTGATGGGTGGAGGATCCACTAACTGCTGTAGCTGTTTATTTGGATCTCAGATCTAAGAAGGATTCACGACTTTGGTCAGGGATTGGGTGCAGATTTTGAGAGCTTTTTGGACTTAAAAACTCAATGGGATTTATGTATGTAGTTACATATCTGGCAGTATTTGAGCTCTTCTTTAACTGTTAGAGTTGAGGACTCAATAACCTCAAGAATACTCAATTGTTAACTTAGAGCAAGTTTAGATGGTAGTTGAGATCCTCCACAATGGTTCATAATCTACCTTTCTAATAATTGCCCTTTTGTCAGGAATGGACACTGCTCTAGTTAAATTGTTCTGCCCACTACCTTCTGAGCATGTTTTATTTTCCACCTGTATACCTTTCTCTTTAAATCTGCACTGTCCTTTATGGTAGCCATTTAGTTACATATGGCTGGCCAGTGAGTACTTGAAATGTGGCCATTCTAAACTGAGATGTACTGTTAGAGACACGCAAGGTTTCAAAAATGTAGAACCTCCAAATATAAAGTATTTCACTAATATTTAAATACCGATTACACATTGAAACATCAATATTTTGGATATATTGGATTAAATTCATTAGAAAATAATTGCACATTTTTTACTTTTTTACGTGGCTACTAGAAAATTTAAAAAATGTATGTGGCTTGCATAGTATTTTTAAATGGACAGTGTTCCTCTAGGTCGCTAGCCTTGCCTCTTAAGCCAACATAGAACTGGACCAACCATTCAAGCCCATCTTTGTACTTTATCTTCTGACATAATAAGCAATGAATGATAGAAAAATCTTAGTGTGGTTTCTTTCATACAGATGAGGCAGGCATGCCCCTTCTATGTTATCAAACTAAAGTTGCTATCACCAATCAGCTGTCAGCTCAAGAAAATAGACTTTCTGCCAAAGGCAGCAAGATAATTAATATTCTCAGTAAGTGTTAGGTAACTTCTTCTAGGCATCCACACTAAAATAAAACCCTTCAATTCTCTCTCTCTCCTGCTTTTCTTCCACTTTCAGGCACTAAAATGTTAACTCTTCCTGCCCTGGCCAGTTTGGCTCAGCAGTTAGAGCGTCCTGCGGTCCAGAGAGTCCCGGGTTCGGTTCCCACTAGGGGCACGTACCTCAGTTGCAGTTTGTTCCCGGCCTCAGTTGGGATTGTGTGGATGGCAACCAGTTGATATGTCTCTCTCACATTGATGTTTTTCTCTCTCTTCCTCCTTTTCTCCCTCCTGCTCTATCTGAAGATAAATGCAAAAATGTCCTTGGGTGAGGACAACAACAAAAAAAAATTAAAATGTTAGCTCTTCCTGTGAAATTCTTTCAATTCTATTCCCCCTCTCAATCCATACCTATCAAAGTCTTGGTTACCCTGCTTTTAAAATCTAGTTACCTAGTAGTCTACCAGCTTCCTTTTCCCCTATCCTTGTTCATTCCATTCTATATAGAATATATATTCCCTAATTCCCTACTATATGCAGTAATATAGTGTATACTACAACTAAAGTAATCTTCCATAACAGCTGTTACCGGATACAATTTTTTGCTAAAAAACTTCTACTTTTGCCCTGGCTGGTTTGCTCAGTGGTTAGTGTCGGCCCATGGACTGAGAGGGTGTCAGGTTTGATTCCGTCAAGGGCACGTACCGGGCTGCAGGTTTGACCCCCAGGTCAATTGGGTCATGCAGGAGGCAACCAATTGATGTTTCTCCCTCCTCCCCTCCCTCCCTTCCACTCTATCTTAAAAAGGAAAAATATCCTCAGGTGAAGATTAATAAATAAATAAATAGCCCTGGCCGGTTTGGCTCAGCGGTTGGAGCATGGCCTGTGGTCCAGAGAGACCCGGGTTCGGTTCCTGCTAAGGGCATGTACCTCGGTTGCAGTTTGTCCCCGGCCCTGGTTGGTCGTGCGGGTGGCAGCCACTCGATGTGTCCCTTCACGTCGATGTTTCTCTCTCTCTTCCTCTCTCTCCCTCCCGCTCTATCTGAACAAAAAATGGAAAAATGTCCTTGAGTGAGGATTAAATAAATAAATAAAGGTATAGTGTTCTTTGTGTTATTTAAAACAAACAAAAAGCTTCCACTTTTCCCTCATTACCTACAGGAAGAATTCTTTCATCTAGCATTCAAGGTTTTTCAAACCTTCTCTCTTGGTACTCTCCTCCATAAAATCTGGGCTTTAGGGAAACTAGACTGAGTTTATGTAAAGCACTTAGAATCCTGCCTCACCTATATTGTAGAAACTATATAAGCCTTGGTTATTATTATTACTCCTCACTTTTATTTGAATAATGCTGTATGCATTTCTATCTCAAGAATACTTCTAATTCCTTTTTCCTATTTGAATACACTATGTCCAAAGGGAGAAGGAATGATTTAGACTAACAATGAATAGCACAAGCCAATTGTTACTCCTGGAGAAAACTTATACAGCAGGTCCTCAAATAACATTGTTTTGCTTGTTCAACATCCTTTCATTATAAAGGTGAAATGTCATAGGAATTTAACTATGACATTTAACATAGGTAATTTATATCAATTACCTATGGTAAAATTGGTTTCATTGTAAGTAATTTTGCTGCAGTTCCAAGAACCTGTCAATGATGTTAAGTGAGGATTCACTGTATATCCTTCCTACAATAGTCAGAACCAGTTACTCTGACCCCTAATTTGCCAGAAAATGTAATAAAATTTAAGACTGGAAGGTACATAAATAAAAGGTAGTATTTCTTTTATACAATAGACAATAAACGTATACAATGTGTCATTAAAAAAAAAGCTTGGTGCCCTGGCCGGTTTGGCTCAGCAGTTAGAGCATCAGCCTGCGGACCAGAGAGTCCTGGGTTTGGTTCCCACTAGGGGCACATACCATAAATAAATAAATAAATAAATAAATAAATAAATAAATAAATAAAATCTTGGAAAAAATATAAATGGGTTTTGGATTTAGGGCAGTGGCTCATCAACTCTGGTGTAATTAGAATAACCTGGGAAGCTCACTAATTCAGATGCCAGGACCCCACTCCAGATTTATTAAATCTAATAGTAGGTCGTGAGCACATGAATTAAAAAAAACTTCAAAGGTCATTCACGTGTATCTTTTTAAAAATTTTTAATCCTCACCCGAGGACGTTTTTTGCATTTATCTTCAGATAGAGCGGGAGGGGGAGAGGGGGAAAGAGAGAGAGAGAAACATCGATGTGAGAGAGACATCAACTGGTTGCCACCCACACAACCCTAACCGGGCTGGGGACAAACTGCAACCAAGGTATATGCCCTGAGCGGAAACTGAACTCAGGACTCTCTAGTCCACTGGCCGATGCTCTAACTGACGTGCATCGTTTCAAAAGCTTCACAGGTGATCGTCATGTGCACCTACATCCAAGAATCATTATTTTAATCGAGAGAGAAACTTTGGGTTAAGGAGGCTGGTCATGTTTGGCATATATTTTTCAACATGTTCTCCAACATGTGTTTGAAACAAACAGAATACAGAGAACCGATTAATTCTGAATGGCTTACAAATCTGTGAGTAGTGTTCTTAAAAACAAAAACCCAAAGTTCCCCCACCCTCTTGAGTTTGATCTAGGGGGTCAGAAAAGAAAAAGGCATATACATCTCAACACACTTGGTATTCATCTTAAAGCCTGTCTGTTGGTCTTCTATTAATTTGTAAGTCTGAAAACAGAATTACTTAAGTAAATATATATATTTAACTCTGTACAATATTTACAGCTTACAGATTTTCCAACTTCAAATTATACATTTAAATCCGTAAAGTGTGAAAAAGTTGGTATTTTAGTATGTAATACTTAAAAAATATTTTACACCGATTTTCCAAAGTGCTATTTTCACAGGCTCATATTGTACTGCAACAACCTAGTCAGGTTATCAAACCTCCAGATATGGAGTAACCTGTATCATATGGAGAGACAGCACTTTTTAATACAATGGCCGGGTATTAGAAACATTGGGTCCTCGAAACCCTATAACAAAGCCCCTTTCACCCTCCAATCCTGAGACAACAAATCCTGCAGTTCTCCCTCATCGTCGCTGTCAACATTCTCCTCTTCCTTTTTCTGCAGTTCCTTTATCGTCAGGACCTCTTTAAGCTTATTTTTTATTTCATCCTGGCGGTTCCGCAGATTTTCCACCCGACGGTAACACTCTATCTGCTCATCAATCTCCCCAATCTGCCGGTCCAACCGTCCCTCCTCATCCTCTTCAGCAACTATGGCTTCGGAAATAGTGTTGACCTGTCTCATGGCTTTTTGAAATTCGTCCCACTCTTTGTCCATCTGATCCTTTGGGGCATCAACCTTTCGTACCCTCGCATCTATCTCAGGGTCGTCAAAAAAGCCTTCCGGTAATGCTTCCGCAGTGTTTTCTCTCCTTTCCACTATTTTCTCATGTATTTCTGCTTTCTCAATGGACCCTGAGTGAGGAACTAAAGGGGCCTTGGGAGGGTTTGTATTCGAGAAATCGCCTGGCAGCACACTACTTGTTGCCTCCCGCGAGGACGACAGTGAGTGTTCCTTGCCCGGTGGATCGGGCGGCTGCCTGCTGGCGTCTCCCTCTGGTCTTTCTCCTCCCTCCTCCTCCTCCTCTTCCTCATCTTCATAATCGGGGAGTAAACCGAGTCCTGGAGCCTTACCGAGGGTCGCTCTGGTGGACTCCTTTCCTGCTTTGTCGACGCTGGTGAGCACGGCGGACGTGGAAGGCTGCACCTGAGGCACCTGGGGCGCCTTCGCTCTTTTGGCATCGTGGCTGTCTGCGTCCGGCGCCTTCCTCTTGGCCGACTGAGGCACTGCGCTGGCGGACGGCCCCTGGCTGGCTTCCTTCGCGCCTTTCAGCTCGGCCACTTTCTCGCGGTGCTGCTTTCCCAGGACGTGAGTCTGCCACAGGAGCTCGCTCTTCACCGGGGTGTTACACAGGGCACAACTCAGCTGCCCCAAACGGTTGTACTTCGCAAATGGAGATTCTATGCGTTTCCTGTTGGTGCTCAGACGCTGCTTCTCCTTCATCAACCGCCGCAGTTCATCTTGACTCACCACTCGCTTTCCGGACGAAGGCCGAGCCGAGGCGGAGGACGCCATCTTTGCGACCCGACCCAAGGCGATTCTGGCTTCCGTTTCGGCGAAGCCCGATGGCGTCACTTCCTTCCCGGGCGCGGATTGGCTGAGGCTCCGGCGGGCCTCGCCCCGCGTTTTACTTCAGAATCGCGGCTCTGGCTGCTTTGGCGAGTCGGGTGGTCCCCTAACCGCCCCGCTATGGCTGCGATTAAGGCGGTCAACTCCAAGGCCGAGGTGGCGCGGGCCCAGGCGGCCTTGGCGGTCAATATATGCGCCGCCCGAGGGCTTCAGGATGTGCTGCGGACCAACTTGGGTCCTAAGGGCACCATGAAAATGTGAGACGGCGGTTGGAGCGGCGGTTAGGGCGCCGGGGGTTTGTTGGATGTGGGGCGCTCTGTGAGGCAACCTTGTTGGAGCCACGTGAACCCCCTTGTGGGCCTGCCCTGATTCTCACTCCTGCCCCAGGTCACCGCTAGCCTGGCGGGGAGGAGGAGAGCCTCCCGAGGAAATGGTCCCACCGGGAAGTTGTGGTTCCCTGTCCCACCAACTGTAAGGCTCATAGGCAGTATGAAAGTGTGTAGAATATATTGTTATCCGAGGAAAGGCACTGATTGTTGATAGGAGAAGGGAGCAGGAAAAGACTGAACAGGTGGCTTTTTTGTTAGTTTGTTAATCTTCACCCAAGGATAGTTTTCCATTGATTTTTATTTAAATTTTGTTTTCTTCATTGATTTTAGAGAGAGAGGAACATGGATGAGAGAGAACATGGATTGGCCGCCTCCTGCACGCCCCCCACTGGGGATTGGCCCACAACCCGGCATGTGTCCCAGAAGGGAATCCAACCAGCGACCTCTTGGTGCGTGTTGGTGCGTGGGTCAGCGCTCACCCAGAGCCACACTGGAGGGCTCCACTGATTTTTAGATAGAGGGGAAGGGAGGGAGGAAGGGAGAGAGAAAGTTGATGTCACAGAGACCGGTTTCCTCCAGCACCGTCCTTGATCAGGAATTAAACCTGAGACCCTTTGGTCGAAGGCTGAGCCTCTAACGGCCAGGGTGTTAACAGGTGATTTTTGATCAGTCTAGAAAGGCGAGAGAGTTCACCAGTTGGAGCAGTGGGTAAAGGTCTTCTAGATAGAGCAATTCAGGAACAAGAAAGCCAGATGGTGTGAATGCAACAGAAACAAAACAAAACGTGATGTATTAAGGGAACCACAAGATTTGCCCACAAAATTTCATTCAGTATATGAGACATTTAAAATAGATAGGAGCCAGATTGGGAAGGGTCAACTGTGTCATTGCTAAATAGTTTGGATTTTACCTTGAAAGTGATGGAGAATATGAAAACCATTAAAAGATTTTTGATCAGTGAACTCTTACTGCTTTAGAGAAAGATAAATGGAGGAGGGTGGATTAAAATTCAGAGATAATGTGGAGGCTAAATAGTCCAGACTACAGATGATGACAGTGGAAATGGAGAGGAAGGAGTAGTTTGAAGAGGCTTTTAGCTTGTAGAATAGAAAGAATTAGATGATCAAATAAAGTGAGGGAAGATGGAAGAAACTAAATTGAATGAATGGTAACATTTCACTAAAATAAAAAACCTGCAAGAAATTCACAAACGTGTGGCTTGTAGACTTCCAAGTACTCTTCCTGACCAAACCACTCTCATAACTCACCAACTACACTTCCTTTAACTTGTAAATTGTCTGTCGGGAATGGGCCATAGCAGCCCATCTGGAGAAAGTGATTCTGTGGGCTGCAAATGGGGTTTTTACTGTGGTATGATGGAAGTTTCCCAAGCCCAGTTCCCTCTAATAAGGATAATGGAGTGGCAAGCACTGTATCTTGCTTGACTCTTACTATATGAAGTTAATAACATCACTGTTTTCAACAGGCTTGTTTCTGGTGCAGGTGATATCAAACTCACCAAAGATGGCAATGTGCTCCTTCATGAGATGGTGAGCTGATGCTGCTGACTTTAATAAAGCTTAATGAGCCTTAATTGAGAGCATAATACAGTTTATATGTCTTGAAACCAAGGCTGTCAGCTAAATATTGCAATTATGAGATATACAGGGGTGAGCAAAAGTAGATTTACAATTCATGTGGAAAAAGACCTACAGGTTATGATTATTACAGTAGCTTTAACTCAAAAGAATGTCACAATGTAACTGTAAACCTATTTTTGTCCACCCCTGTACTTGTTTGATTAAACCTCAGTAAAAAATGTTTTATGGCTGTTTGCAAATCTTTGTATAGTCGAAGTAGAATCTTAGGGATGCTTCCAAATTAGTTGCATCTTTTAAAGGCACTGCATTATGTTCTTTGTGATCATGGAAAAGTAAAATCCTTTGCAATTTTAGTAAATATATTCATTTTTGAGAGTGAAGGATTTAATCTAATTTTGGAAATGTCATTGCATTCTGAAGCACAGACTGTGTTATAAAATGTTCAGATCTCATTAGTTCTCATAACTTTTGATCTTGACATTTATTAAGTATTGATAATGCAAAACTTGTAAACTTGTAGAATGAAGTTGATCTCATTTCTTTCTTCCTTTTTTTTTTTTGTTACGTGCCCCTAGCGGGAACCGAACCTGGGACTCTCTGGTCCGCAGGCTGACGCTCCAACCACTGAGCCAAACCGGCCAGGGCTGATCTCATTTATTGATTTTACTATTGACGCTTAGGTTATCTTGTTTTTGGTGGACTATTTTTTTTATTTCATTCTCTCTCTTTAAATCTTTTGCTTGCTTTTTTCAGCAAATTCAACACCCAACAGCTTCCTTGATAGCAAAAGTAGCAACAGCCCAGGATGACATTACAGGAGATGGTACTACTTCAAATATTCTAATTATTGGGGAGTTACTAAGACAAGCTGATTTTTACATTTCTGAGGTATTATAATTTCATAGAATTCACATTTATGTGGTACTTTATTTTGAATGGAAACTTTTTTTTACACTATTAAAATGGTTTAATTTTGGAGGGCAAAGGTTAATATTTATGAAGATAAATTTGGACAATTATAAATGAAAATAATAATGAACTTTTTTTTTCAAAACAATGCCTTTTACTGGAATTATATATCTCTTTTCAAAATAAAAAATTTAAGATATTTAAAAAGGTGAAAAATTAGCCATGTACCCATGATTAATGGCCTAAGAAAGAAAACATGACTGATAAAGTTGAAACAAAATTGTTGTTTTCAAAAAAATAACTGGATTAAACTTATTATTTTTAAAATTAAACTTATTGAGGTGACATTGGCGAATACATTAATTATTAGTATACAAGTGTACAATTCTATAATACATCATCTGTCTATTACATTGTGTGCTCAGCACCCATAGTCTAGTCTCCTTCTGTCACCATGTATTTGGCACCCCTTTACCCTCTTTATCTTCTCCCCACCCTCATTTCCCTCTGTTAACCACCATACTGTTATCTGTGTCTATGAGTTTGTTTATTTGTTTGTTGCTTTTTGTTTTATATGAGTGAAATCATATGGTTCTTGTCTTTTTCTTGATATATTTTGCTTAGCATGATACTCTCAAGATCCATCTATGTTGTTGGAAATGGCAGTATTTTATCTTATGCCTAAGTAGTATTCTTTATCCAGTTATCCATTGAAGGACACTTAGGTTGTTTTCATGTCTTCGATACTGTGATAAATGCCGCAGTGAACTTAGGGGTACATATATCTTTACGAATAAATGTTTTCACATTTTTTTGGGGGGTAGATAATCCAGAAGAGGAATTGCTGGGTCATATGGTAGATCTGTTCTTAATTTTTCGAGGAAACTTCATATTGCTTTCCAAAGTGGCAATACCAGTTCACATTCTCACCAGCAATGAACAAGGGTTCCTTTTTTTCCACATCTCCAACATTTGTTATTCTTTATTTTATTGATAATAACCATTCTAATAGGTATGAGGTAGTATCTCAGGTTTTGATTTGCAATTTCCTTATAGCTAGCAAAGTTGAGCATCTTTTCATATATTCGTTGGCCATTTGTATGTCTTCTTGGAAAAAGTGTCTGTTCAGATCCTCTGGCCATTTTTAATTGGATTGTTTTGTTGTTGTTGAGTTGTATGAGTTCTTTATATATTTTGGGTATTAACCCCTAATCGGAGCATTGTTTGCAAATATCTTCTCCCGTTCGGTTAGTTGCCTTTTTGTTTTATTGATTGATTGGTTTCTTTTCCTGTGCAGAAGCTTTTTAGTTTGATGTAGTCCCATTTATTTATTTTTGCTTTTACTTGCCTTGCCTTTGGGATCAGGTTCATAAAAACCTCTCTAGACCAAGGTCTGTAAGTTTAGTACCTATGTTTTCTTCTGTGTGTTTTATTGTTTTAGATCTTATATTTAAGTGTTTAATCCATTTTGATTAAATGTTGTGTATGGTGGCAAATAGAAGTCTCATTTCATTCTTTTGCATGTGGCTTTCCAGTTTTCCCAACACCATTTATTGAAGAGGCTTTACTTCTGGAGAAAAATTATTGAAGGCTTCCACATTGTGAATTTACTTACCTTTCTAGTTTTCTTTCCCTTTTATAAACTATCTACTCTAGTCAGACTCCTCCATTCACTAACCATTGAAGTGATTATAGACATTTCTACCTCTGCTTATGTTCAATCTGTATTTTTTTTCTTGGCATTACTTATCTGTCTTCTCTATTTAAGTATTTGAATTTTTCTCTCTTTCAAGGACCATTTCAGCAAAGCATAACCTGGTCAAAGTGCTAAAAGTATTACATTTTTTTGTGTTTAATTTAGTATAGGGAATTATTTATTAATTCAGTACCTGCAACTTATCTCATAAGGATGCTTTTGGCTGTTAGCAGTAGAAACTTTACTAAAAGTCACTTATACAATAAAGAAATGATCTCCCATAATAGAACATAGAGAGATAAAGCAGGCTTCCAGGGTTAGTTGATTAAAAAATTCAGTCAGTTATCAAGTACCAAGGTCCTTTCTGTCTCTTAGCCCTTCTGCTGTTTCATCATAAGGCTTATTTTCATCCTGACTGTAAGACCGACTGTCAGAGGATAT